CTCCTTCCAAACAAAGTTTTACATGTTATTTGAGTTGGCATTTTATATCTTTGAGGAACAGTGCTATTTTCTTAGTACAGTGGGAAGATTGCCTAATAAATGGGATTGAGAATCTAAGTTTTATAAAATCTAAGCTAAAAGGATTTCCATTCATCAGGCTGTCTTAGGTACATGACTTCCAAAAGCAGTGATTCTCAGCTGTCCCTAGGTCTGTGACATGTGAAACAGAAGTGGACAGTCTGCCTTAACCCTAAATGATATACGCTTTTCCCCGATCCTCCCTTGGCCTGGTCACCCATGCCTTCACAACTCAACACAATTTTCAGAACGTCAAGACCACAGATGGATGGGGAGAAAATACACCATTCAAAACAAACAATTTTAATTGTTAAAAAGAAAGAAAGAAAAAGAAAATGCCCCCATCTGCCAAGTGAGGGCTTGTAAATCAATGGCAATAGCTTTAAAATAGATTTTTCAAACTTATATTCTCATTTTGTCCTGCACAAATCTCTGCAGGAAAATCAATATTACAACTTCACACTTAAGACATTTTGCAGCAACGTAAACTGCCGCCGCCGCCGCGGATGGAAGCCGCTCCCAGCCCTTTGCAGCGGCGGCGCCAAGCCATGACACAGGCTCCGAGCTCCCCCTAGCTGCCAAGTAGCGCCAGGTGCGGCTCGGTATCTCAAGCTTGCCATCACCAAAAGCCAATTCAACTGAAAGTTTATTTTGTAAAGTATTTTATCACAACAAGCAACAGAAAATGCAAAGCAATCGAGATAGGAGATGCAAAGAAGATAAGTGAAGGCTGGTGCAAGCCGTGTTCTAAGCTGTAACGGAGTGCCAAGAGTCCGATTCTGATAAGGCAAACCAGTGCACTCCACAATCAGAAACTGGTTATCACTAATCAGACGGTTGGATAAGGTTCCATCTCACCTGAGAAATTATCCTAATTATTATCCTTTGACAACCAAAAGCTGGCCTTCCCTTGGGTCATGTGAGAACCATTTAGCCTTGCACAGCAGTCAGGGAAGCATCACACTCAACCATCTCCCCCAATATTTCTAAGGCCAGTTTCACAAAAGCAACTGCATTTACCCCAGCACTTTTCTGTTATGAAATATTTTGAAGGCCAGACAAAATTCACCAAGCTCAAGGCACAAGCAAACAGCAACCTTCTCCCTCAAAAAGAAAAAAATAAAAAAGGAATATGCATATGTGCGCAATATTCAGGTAGAAGAAAATATCCTTTAAAAATATTAGGAGTTGTTAAAATATGCTCACGACTGTTTTCTCTCAGGTGTGAATTACAAATGAATAAAATCAACCTGGCATAACACCTTTGATGAACACATTTTTATTCGCCCATGGAATCAGAGCAGCTGACATATATCACACTTCTAATGATATGGGGTTCCCTTCTGTGCAGAAGGGAGATGAACTTCACTCCCCAACCAACTACGACAAAAAAGAGGGCTCATGTCTTATGAAATTTATCGGAGTCCCAATTTTGAAAGATGTGTGAACCACTATGCCCTAGGGAGTTAGATTATTGTAAGCAGCCACCTTCAAAACACAGCTATAGCAAAACCTGATTTAAAAGTAACCATGGAATTAACAGCCTAACTTCTACATCAAATCTTCGGTCTAGTTGTTTTGCAAAATCGTGAATTCATACGGAAAATTACTAATCTTCCAAGGAAACCTGTTGATGGGTTATTGAAAATCATCTTAATTGGGGTTATGTAATTTACCATACACATTTTATTTCCTCTGGTTTCTTTGGAAAGCCTCAGGCTCCTTCGGGGACTTGAATCTATTTCCCTTCACTCTGGCCCTGTCTGGCACAGCCTGCTCTGGCCTTACCCTCTGCCTGGTCAACCCCTTCGAGCCCTTAAACTCCCTTCTCACTATTGTCACTTCATTGTTTGTGTTTGTTTTTATTAATAGCTGTATCTGTCCTCCAGTTTCAAAAGCCATATCCATCTGGGTCAAACATTTTGAAGCAAACCAGAAGCCCAGGTTTCCATTGCCAGCTGTCTTCTACACTCTTTTTTAACCTCGCTCCTGTTGTCACTGGCCCTGTCTGTAAATTTAACTATCTCATTATGGAGCCCTTCTCAGGCCCCTCCGCCAACACGCACACAAAGATCATCAATGCTATTTGCGTGCACTTCTTGTTTCCCAGGCCATCAGTTATTCTCAATTGCCTCATCCCTAAAGAACCTAAGGGTGTCACCCCACAGGCCGGCGGGCTGCCACCTAATTGATAAAGATGCACTACATTTCAGGTGTATTTTGTCATATTTAAAACCTAAAATATGAACCCCTGGTAGGGGGTGTGACAGCACTCGCTCTGCTAGCTGGAACTCTAGAGCACCCTAAACCCATGACTCCTGTGTCATTTGTGGAGAGGCACTTTCAGAGGCCACGCAGTCTAAACTGCATCGATTCCTGCCTTTCCCCTGCCTTCTCCCACGTTCCTCCCGGGTGACACAGGACAGATGAAAAGCCAGCAGCTTTTGGATAATAAATAGTCTTGTCTGAAAACTGGTTGGACCACTCTCTCCCAGCTTAAACCCACACAAACGGCCTGGGCCCATGTGCCCCTGGAAGGCAGGCAGGCTTCCCTTAGCTGGCCTGTCTCTTTCTCTTCTTCTCCCCACCTCTCTCCTCTTTTGCCTGTCTCTTCCCTCCCCATCCCTGCTCCAGTGTCAGCTGGCTACCCCAGCTCGGCTCTTAGCAAAGCAGAGAGAGACAGAGAACAAATGAAGGATTGAAGGACATTACAACGGGCACCCTTCACCCCCACCCCCGTGCCCACCTGCCACCCATCCTCTGGCCAGGGCTCTCTCCTGCGACCCAGGAATGCCAGGAGAGGGACACCCAAGGCACACCAAACCTACCTGCTTCTTCCCCTCACACACAACTGCAAATGCTCCTGGCTCCTGTAGCTGCCAGCTTGGCAATGCACCCCCATCAACTCCCCCTTCCCCACCCCACCCCCACCTCCCCCTCCTCAAAAACAACCCTTGCAATTAAACAGAGGATATGCGGGGCAAATTGCCTCCTGGAGAAATTAGGCATCTGCAAGTGTAGACATTTTAACAATCGCCCCATCTAAAGGTGGTGGGGAGGAGTAGAACAAGCGATTGCTGTGGCTTGGTAAAAGGATCGAAATGTCAACTGGCGAAAAAGACCTCAGTCAAACCAGGCTCAAATCTGGCTGCAAAACATTTTGTTTTAAATGCTACCAGCGAGTCTTCTTTGATATTACAGTGGAAAAATAAATAAATAAATAAAAGAGAAGTCCTCTTCCCTCCCTCCAAAAAGGCATCCTTCTCCCAAGGCAAACCCCACTTTAATATCTGTTCTCCTCCCCAAAAATAATAATAATAAATCCAAAAATTCTTACTAATGTCTCTGCTGTAACAAAGGAGAGATGGCAACAGCAATTGCTCCGAGCAGATGGTTCTTATGCTGGGTTTTCAGGGGAGGGGAGAACCCCTTTATATATTTATTTATTTATTTAAATTTTTTAAAATATAACATAAATATTCGGCTCTCGGCCGCTCCGCAGCCAGTCCTCGGCGGCGGCTGGGCGCGCAGCCCTCTCCAGCTCCGCCGCAGCAGCCCGGCCCCAGCCCGGTGAAGTGCGCGGAGGACTGCAAGAATACAACCTGCCCGAGGTCTCGATGGCACCCAGAGGATGTTTTATTTCTGTTGCAATTTAAAGGGAAAAAAAGGCAACGGCGACCCCAACCCAGGCACCGAGAGAGAAAGAACGGCGGGGAAGTGTTCGCGCGCAGCGAAGCAGCGGCCCCACGGGCTGCGGCGGGCGGGGACCGCCGCGAAGCGACCTTCCCGGTGCGAGTGTGCGGAGACCGGGGCGGACTCTCCTGCAACCACGGTACCTAGCCCGCTCGCGCTCGCTTTTTCCCTTTGCTAAATAAACCCAATAGAGACGTTGGATGCTGAGGCGTCTCTGCCCAGCTGCCTGACTTTGCCCTCCCCGCCACTTGCTTGAAATCTACAAGATTTCAGCTGGTGGATTTCCATTACTACCCGCCTTGTTTATTTTAAATAGGGAAGATGAAAGATACTGAGATAGAAAGATGGATAAGAGATTGATAGGTCTCTTTTTTCTTTTCTTTCTTTTTTTTTTTTTTTTTTTACTATTTTACAAGCTCATCACTCTCTTCCCACTCCTGACAACCTTTCCACAACCACTCCACGTGGCGGGGATTTTTCACCAACCCCAGTTCCCCCACCGTTTTTTGGAGTGGGGGAAAGAAGATCATCCCAGGAGACAGACGGAGGTGGGGAAATGGGGAAGGGGGGGCCTAAAGCCAGGCAAACAGCCGCGCAGCTGGATTCTTTTTTGCAAATAGCAAGAGGAGGGGAGAGAAAGACCGCAGCGGAATCCTAGGACCGGCGTGGCCGGCGCCCTGCCCGGCTGGGCGCAGCAACCGAGGACCTGGAGCCGGCGGCCGCCCTTCGCCCGGCAGCTCCCCGAATCCTGAGCGCACCCCTCTCTCCTCCGCCCGCGCCGTCAGTGCGGACCCACGCGCTCGCCAACTTTTCCCCACTTCCCTACTCCCCCTCCCCCCTCCGCTCCCCCAGCCCCCTCCCCCTCCTCTCCAAACCCCGCCACCAGCGCCGCCACCACCACACACGCCGCTCGGAGGGGCGAGTGTCCAGCCCGGCTCGGCGCGTACACACACCTCCTCCAGCCTGCGCGCCCCCTCCCTGGCCCGGTGGTGGCTTCGCAGGCCCGAGCCCAAGTCGCGTCTGGCTGCTCAAGGCTGCGACTCCCTGGGCTGCAAAGAAACTTTCCTATGCACTCCCCCCGACTATGCTGCAGGCCAACACCGACTCGGCCAGCCTGCGGGCGGCCCCGGCTCACGCCCGGGCTCGGGTGCTCCCCGCTCGGTGTCCCCAGCCCCGGGCGCCCGGAACCCCATCCTCCGGCCCCTCGCGCACACATCGCAGACACTTACGCGTGATGAGCTCCCTCTGAGACAAGTGCTGCGGGTTGCCCTGTTTGCGGCGGGACATTGCCCCGGCATCTATTCTGGCATCGCCCGGAGAGCTGCACTGATGGGGGGAGCCGGGGGAGGGGGTCCGAGCCGCTGCCGCGCCGCTGCCGCCGCCGCCGCCGCCGCACCTCCTCCTCTGCCCGGGTTGGTGTTTTTTTCCCCTTCCTCTCTTGCCCTCTCCTCCTCCTCCTCTTCTTCTTT